TCTTAGAAGGGCCTCTTTAGTTAATATTTTGGTCATTCTGATGACTGCATGTCATGATGTCTTCCTGTTTGCATTTAATCTCCCAGGGGTCCTCTGAGCTTCTTGAACTTGTATATCGAGATTTTGAGCAAGGCCTGGGAAATTTTCCTCTATTATATCTTCAAATAGCTTGTCCATCCTTTGAGTGTTGTCTTCTTCCCCTTCTTGTAACCCTATGACCCTCACATTAGGTTTCTTCACATAATCCCACATCTCTTGTAGGCTTTGCTCTTTGCTCTTATTTGTCTGCTCTATCTCTGTAAAGGTTTTATTTAGTTAGAGGTTGTTATCTTCAATCTCTGTGATTCTTTCTTCTGTTTGATCTACCCTGTTCTTGACACTCTCCACTGTATTTTGTAGTTCCCTGAATTGATTCTTCATTTCCAGGAGTTTGGTTAAACTTTTCTTCATTGTGTCTGTTTCTTTAGTGAACTTTTGTTCTAGGTCCTGGAGGCTTTTGGTGGTTTCTTTGTGTTGGTTATTGAGTTGTTGTTGCAGGTCGGTGATTGTTCTTATGATCCACATACAAAATTCCTCTTCTGTCATTTTGGTTGCCTGATTTGGGTTGGTGTCCATTTCTAGGGGGCTGGTGCTCCTCTTTGGGGGTGTGTTTTCTGTTTGGTTCTTCATATTTCCTGAGTTCCTTCGCTGATTTCTTCCAATGTCGATCAGTTGTTGTTTCTTTCCTTTAGGTTTTTGTTTGGGTATACACACACCTTGTTTAGGTTCTGAGCCGTTAGGTGGTCTCTGTGAGTGAGATTTGACCACTCCCTGTATAATGAGTCAGTGGGTGTGGTGAAAATGCTGTGCAGGATGCCGTCCCTGTCAGTAGGTGGCACTTGCTTGGAGGAACAGACTATACTGTTGTTTCTGTTTCCTGATATCAGCTCTTGTTCTGGGCAGAGCTGGGATGGGTAAGCCTGCCCTCAGGCACCACCAATGCAGTTAGCAGGGGTCAAAGTTCTGTTCTCTGCTTCCAGGAAAAGCTGTCAGGGCGGAGCTGGAATGGTCCTGCTTAGCCAGAAAGTCTGGGTGTGGGGGTGGGGCTGTCTGAGACCGGCAGTCTGGAGCAGGCCTCGCTTCTTTCCAC